TGGAAATGTATCACCCCCTGTTCGGTATCTTCCAAAACTGTAGGAAAGACGTAAGACTTCTTTGTCTTGGATTTATCCTACACTTTCCTACCGTAGGATCCTATCAGATCCTTCATAAGATATTATGGGATCCTGTGTAGGATTTCATAGGATCCTACGTAGGATTTTGTAGGATTTTATAGGATCCTATGTAGGATTTTATGCAGTTTCCTACTACTGGTAGCTTCCTGTTCCCGCCTGCAGTTTATTCGGTACGTTCTCGTTCACACTGTGTAATACATCGTATTCTACTATTATATACATCTTTATTGTTCATATCGTCAAATCACATAGAAAAACACACAAAGAAAAATAGCTAATAACAGTTATTTTTTTTCTTAACAAAACTAAGATCTACTAGCTTTCCAGTAAAGCAAAAAAACACTACTTATTAACACAAAAAAAGTTGAGAGAGAATTCAAAAACACGTTTTTGATAAAATTATAACGAAAAACGGTTCGATACATCGAAGTAGTTACTTACAACTACAAACTATTCAGCGAAGTACAGGATACAGGACAAANGAAGAACAAAAATATCTATGAAAGCGGAAATACTTCTAACCATGTATACAGAAGAAAAAATGAAAGAGCACCCTGTAGATAAAAAAAATTTTAAGATACAAAAATAAAGTTCGGTTTCTAAATGTAATCCTACTGTACAAATAAAAATTACTTGTAATTTTGTTCAACAAAAATAATGACCAGAACAAAAATATAAAAAATATACATTTGATGACTGTTCAGAACTGAGAGTAAATGATTAAACAGTAGCTGTTGTCACTTGATCACTTGTTGTTTGCATCTGTCGTTGATATAATTCTCGATTATACTTTTTTCTAACATCACAAATCAATTGTGTGAGTGTACGATGCAAACAATCTGTAAAAAATGTATTCCAATGAGTAGGAGCAATCTGAAATTTTGCACTAACAGCATCTACAAGAAAAAACAGAACAATAATGAGTAGCATTAGAATCCTTATTCGGTCGGATATCATACATGCTGGGGAGCTATACTTCGCGTGTCTTTTATACAATAAGATCGGTATCTCCGAGTTTTTTCACATTTTGATTGCAGTGAAATACAGTTATAGGATATTCATCAATACCGTTCGGTCTTTATGGATATCCACCTCTTCACCTACTTCCTCTTAGACAACGGGGAAGAAGTATTGCTCTGAACCAGGCTTCTGAACTGCATTCGCCGCCTAAGTAGCCAGATTTTTAGATCTCGCGCTATTTACTAGTCAGAAAGCACGAACTATCGAGCAAACTCAGTTTTATAGGTGTTTTCTGCTTTTTTTGCCCAAAAATACGTTTGCAAAAATAACTTTTAATTTAGATCAGTCGATTTTCCACAGAAAAAAACAAGAGTTCGATCATATAAAGCTCCAAAAAAATTTTAGAAAATCAAAATATATTTATCCCAACTTAGCAGTAAAAAAACTATATAAATTACTTTTGAAAATGGCCATTCTAGCTGGATCTAAACCGGGTTTTGAAAATATTGGATTTGGCATTAAACTTGAACGACTCATTTCAGCATTTGTAAATAAAATTTTTAATATTTCCCTGGCATATTTTGTATGATCGCCCCTAGCATATATGTCGAGTAAATTTTGTCCATTGTAATCGTGCAAAAAAAGGCTCAGACAAATAAATGAACTGAGACTAAGTAGAAAGATAGACAAGCTTACAACGTCTGTTGGAAATGTATCACCCCCTGTTCGGTATCTTCCAAAACTGTATTGCCCTGAAAATTGAAAATAAGAATAACAAATGTCGGAGTGCAGACATCAAACACTTACAGATGATTGATGCATTCGTTTAGATATACGTCCCAATTTCTTATCAAGATTTGAAATATGTGCTTGGACGTTTGTTGCTAACTGTGTTGTCACATCCAGAAGATCTAAAACGGAAAAATCAGAGAAAATTATCATGTGTGAATCAGAAAAAAATCACTGAGGAAGCGCTACAAAAATATTTCCTTCAAAATAAATCACAAATAAGGAGGTGAGCACTCTGGATTAACATAAAAAAGGCTTTTTTATAAGGTGGCAGATTCAATGATTTGCTCAAGCGATAGAAGCAGATCCGAGACGCAGGTGTAAGAAACTTGCTTTGGTCGGATGTGAGTTTGTTCACCAGAACTCTATGAGGGAAACAAAGCACAAACGGTTTCTCTATCGAAAAACCAAGACAACGTTCAGCTTCTCTAAAAACAAGATACCCTAGTTTTCGTGAACGATCAAACCTTTCGGGGCTACATTAACGATAGATCAGTCTTACAAACATACCTTGGCGTAACTGCTGAAATTGTTGATTGTTATTTTGTTTGTAGCGATTATTTTGACGATTATTATTTTGATTTGAATTAACACGCAGTTCTAATATAAAGAAAAAGACGAACATACAGTGAAATGTAGAATAAAGGAAGAGACTACCATCAGCTTCTTCTTCTTGCTGCTCTCCTGCTTCGACTTCTTCTTGTTCCTCATCTTCAGTAACGTTATCATTCGTTAGCAGTTGCTGAGGTTGCAAGACTTCATCATTTTCGTCGGCCGTCTGATGGTCATTTTCATCCGAATATGACTCTCGATGTGTTAAGTCTAAGAAGCAATTAGGAAAAAATAAGATTACCAGCATAAACTTAGTTTGTTTCCATTTACCAGGTTGTTCATCATATTCATCGTGATCACTTTCA